CAATGGCTGGTTTGCAGAATAGGAAACTGAGACATGCAGTGAGGGAGTCTAGCCCACATTCCATTATTTGAAACCAAGCCTTCTGGGTGGTGGTCTCAGCTCTGGGGCAGTAGATGGCGCTGCTGAGCAAGCCACTGAATTCAGAGAACGGAATCCAAAGAGGTGGCAGCCAAGCTGAGGCTCAAAGAAGAGGGAGGGGGTCAGAGAACAGCCTTTCGGGCAGAGGAACAGCCTGATGGGGGCTCAGAGGCCAGGGTGCTGAGCTTTTGTGTCTGGAACTAGTTAGGTTTGCATAGAGAACAATACCTGCAGTGAGGAGGAATGGGGATCTTTGCCCCAAAGGCAAGGGGACTGTGGGAAAGACTAGCGAGTACAGGGTGTACTCAGTGCTGTTCGGGATGCCCAGAGAGGGGGCGTCCTGTGGGGGACACTCGGGGGGCAACTGGACTCGTGCCTGGTGCTAGAAGTTGGGCTATGGGTGGACGGACAGTGCCTGAGGGACAAGAAAGAGTTAGTGAACACAGCAATATGATCAAGGGTCCAGCCTGCAAAGAAGATCAAGGGGGAGCAGCAAGAAGGGGCAGCTAGGAGAGGGCAGTGCCATGGCTGCCAAGGAAAGAGAGTTCGGGGCGGGAAAGAGTGGCTGGCTCGGAGGTCCTGCAAGATGGGCACTCACGAGGCCAGCGGCAGGAGATGGAGTGACAGAGCGGAGAGAGGGGGTGTTCCTGAGCTCTCCAAAGAGGTTCAACTTCAGGGGAAAGACAGCTTAATAGCTGCTTTTTATTATCTATTGTTATTATTTTTAAAGATTTTATTTTATTTTTAGACAGGGGAAGGGAGGCAGAGGGAGCGAAGCATCAATGTGCAGTTGTCTCTCATGTGGCCCCCCACCAGAATGAGGGTGGCGGGTGGACTGTGGGACACGGGCTATTCACCTATTGCTCAAAGTCTGTATGCTGCTGCAATCCCTGCGTTGTCTCCTAGGTCTCAAGTTTGACATGAAGTACATGAACTTCCGTGTGAAGGCCTGTAACAAGGCTGTTGCAGGCGAGTTCTCTGAGCCAGTGACTCTGGAGACACCAGGTGACTGGCACCCACACCCACCCTGGCTGTAACTCTACAACCCTTCACTCCTGGGACCCCAGGGCCTGGTGTGAAGTAGGCATCTTCTAATTAGGGTTTTTATAGCCATTTTTGCCCTAGCTGCCAGGAAGCTCAGAGATTAGTCCACAGCAGAATTCCTCAGCCTGTTTGTCTAATATAAACCTGCATTTGTCCTTTGCTTCTGCTGTTGATCCCTTTATGCCTGGATGGTTTTTATATACATACACACACGCACACACACACACACATACACACTTCCTCTCTCTCTCTTCCAAAAAATAGGTAAGTGCTCTAGAGAGTTGGGGAGGGTGTTATCAGCAGTGAAGACATAGTCTTAGCCTCCCACAGTGACACTTTTGCACGCCCTAATCAGAGGTCCTTCTCTGAGTTAACTCTGTCGTGGTGTAGACCAGCCCCTTTTCTGGGAGTGACCCCCAGTGGAAGCGCAGGGCAGCACCGGTGATTTGAAAGTGGCTCCAGACCTGGAAACATTTAGGCAACAAGCCCTTGGCCTTTGCTCCTCCGGCGCTTTGGGCTGCCCCCTCCATGTTTCCCCATCTCGTGTCTTTCTGCTGTTGTCTCTGTGTCTGTCTCTGAGACTCCGTTTGTCTGTTTCTCTCTCTGTCTTGGCCTGTTTCTTTGTCTCTTCCTGTTCTCTCTCCCTGTCACGGTCTGTCTTGGTCACCGTCTGTCTGTCTCTGTGTCTCTCGGGTTTCCCCATCTCTGTGACTCCCACGTCTGCCCGGCCCCAGCGTTCATGTTCCGCCTGGATGCGTCCACATCCCACCAGAACCTGCGGGTGGATGACCTCTCCGTGGAGTGGGACGCCATGGGCGGGAAGGTGCAGGATATCAAGGCTCGCGAGAAAGATGGCAAGGGGCGGACGGCGTCTCCCGTCAACTCCCCAGCCAGGTAGCTGCCCCCTCCCCTTCCTGAGTGTCTAGTGGCGCAGACTGTGATGGGCACGAACATGTAACCCAGTGTGGTCAAGTCTGGGGTGGAGGCGGGGACATGGGTGGAGCCAAAACAGTGAGTCAAGGGAGAGGAGACTTTGAATTGGGTATTGATGGTTAAATAGTTTTCCAGATGAGAACGGGCACAGACGTGTTCTGACATGAGGAGCCCAGTGTAAGAAAGGAACCAAGGACTGTCAGGGACTGAAAGTCCACAGCGGCTGGGGTGGACCAGAGAAGTGCTCCTATAGGGGAGGTGAGGGCTGAACTGAACCTCCCTTCCCTGTCACCCACAGAGGTACTCCATCTCCCAAGAGGATGCCTTCCGGTCGTGGGGGACGGGATCGCTTCACAGCTGAGTCCTACACGGTGCTGGGTAAGGAGGGGAGATGTCAGGAAGAGAGCGGAGAACTCTGGTCAGGGCTCTGATGGGGGGCTGTGGGAGAGAAGGCCTTTGGCTGGGGAAACTGAGGCAGCCATCAACAAAGCCACTCTGGGAATGGTCTCAATAATATGTGTTGTTGTGGTGCTGGGGGAATGGGAAGGTTTGGGGAGGGGAGCAGTGATTATTAGGGGGAGCAGAGGTTATGGAGCTGAGGAAAGAGGCTCTGGACAGGGGTCACGGGGAGTTTCCTGGGGTCTGTCAAATAGCCAGGACTTACTTGGGGAGTAGCTGGGATTTGGGAAGTAGCTGGAAAGAATGACTGCCTGTAGAGCAGCTGGGTTTGTGGAGGAGCTGAAGCAAGGCTCAGGATGAGTGGAAGAGCCAGAGAGAATAGCTGGTATCTGAGTTGAGAGAAGGGCTAGGGCTGGAGAAGTGGTTAGCACCACAGGAGTGACTGGATCCTGTGAAGGAGAAGCTCGAGTCCATGAAGGAACTGGAATTCAGGGAAATCACAACTGTCCAGAAAAGGACTGGGACAAAAGGCTGAGGTCTGAGGAAGTCGTGGTTGGTAATATTGGTGGGTGGAGGGTAGAAGGAGGTAGGGAGTAGCTGGGTACTGGGGATAGGCTAAGACCTGAGAAGAAGTCAAGGTTCTGTGGAGGATTTGGATTTTCTGGGAAGTATCTGGGATTATCCAGAGCTGGGGTTTGGAGAGGCAGCAGGGGGAGGGGTGGAGGTGTCTAGCTGTCTTATTCCTGGGAGGAGCCTAGAGGAGTTGTGATTGAGAGAGTAGCTGAGGTCAGGGAGGAGCCAGCCTGGAAAAGAAAGGTGTCTGGGGGTTAATCCTGTCTGGGGGGGAGCTGAGCTCACAGATGCAGAGGAGCTGGGATCAGCAGGGGGCAGGGGTGTGTGGGGGAGCTGAAACTCAGAAATAGCTGCACTGGGAAGTGGCTGAGGTAGCAAGAATCTGGATCTGGGTCTGGAAAGAATGGATTCAGAATTCAGCTGACATCTGGAGGGCATCTGAACCCTAGGAAAAGCTGAGGCGGCTCCACTGGGAGTGACTTGGGGCTCTGGGAAGAATCTAGATTCAGAAGCAATAGGAAAGTGTCTGGAGTCCTGGGAAGTACCTGGGCTCTGGTGGGACTTGGGGCCTGGGGGAATACTTGGAGTGTGCAAGGGTTTGGGGCTTACTAGTCCCTGGGAAGTATTGAGGGCTGAGGAGTAACTGAACATGGGGAGGAACTGCAGGAAGTTTCTAAGGCTTGGAAGTAATGGAAGGAGTAGCTTGGACTAGTAGAGAATGTGAAAGGACTAGTGGAAGCTTGGAGAGAATCTGGACTTAGTATCTAGAGGGAGTTGATGAATCCTGGGGAATACCTGGAAGGAATAGCTGGGGACCAAGGAATATCTGGAGGGAGTAGCTGTGGTCTGGGGAGTACCCACCTAAGTGGCTGCCCCTTTGTGGAAGAGCACCTGAGGCCCTGTTCTACCCGGGCCCCACTGCCCACCCCGCCTCACAGGGGACACGCTGATCGATGGTGGAGAACATTACTGGGAGGTGCACTATGAGCCAGACAGCAAGGCGTTCAGCGTGGGGGTGGCCTACCGCAGCCTTGGCCGCTTCGAGCAACTAGGCAAGACAGCTGCGTCCTGGTGTCTGCACATCAACAACTGGCTGCAGGTCAGCTTCACCGCCAAGCATGCCAACAAGGCCAAGGTGCTGGACGCCCCCGTGCCTGACTGCCTGGGCGTGCACTGCGACTTCCACCAAGGTGACCCTGGGCCCCAGCTGGCATTTCCAGACACCTCTGCCTGTCTGGTCTCTCTGCCGCAAACCCCCTTACTGGCCCCCTGTCCCTCTGCCCTCCACCCAGGCCTCCTGTCCTTCTACAACGCCCGTACCAAACAGCTGCTGCACACCTTCAAGGCCAAGTTCACACAGCCACTGCTGCCTGCTTTCACAGTAAGGTCCCCTCCATGGCCTGAGGTGGGGGTGGCTCTGGATGCTGGCTTTGCTGAGCCTCTTCTTTCCCTCCCTATTCCCCAGGTTTGGTGTGGCAGCTTCCAGGTGATGACAGGCCTACAGGTCCCCAGCTCTGTGCGCTGTCTGCAGAAGCGAGGCAGTGCCACCAGCAGCTCGAACACCAGCCTCACCTAGGCCACTGCACCCAGCCAGGCTGATTGTGGGGGCCACTGCCAGGTCTCGGCTGTTTCAGCCAGGCACCTTCCTCTGATTTGCTGCTTGGAGCCTTAACTCCTAATGGGGGTCGCCAACAGGGAGCAGGCAGCAGGGCAGGCCCTCCTCCCCACCTCACTTCCTAATAAAGGTCAGACACTGGCCAGGTTGTGCTGCTGGTTCTTTGGGGCTGGGTGGCACTGGCTGTGCCCTGGGCCCTCTCTGAACCTCAGCTTTCTCAGCTGTCAAATGGGCTTTGCTGACAAAGTCAGATAGCAGTTTGTGCTGAGCTGAGGATCTTTAGGAGTGAATAGAGCCAGCTGTGGGTAGGCGTCTGACGGACCCCTCACTGCCCCCCCTAAGCCAAGTCACACTCATGGACCCTGGGGTCACTTGAACTTTTAATTCTGAGAGGACAGATCCACCTGACTGACGTGCCCAGTTCCGAGACTGGCCTGCTGATCCCCAGTGAGGCCAGCTGGGTGCTCCCATGCCCGCCGCCTCTGCAGTTTCTCTTCCAGCTCTGCCGTCACACTGGCCAACCCTGGGGGGCGGGTACCCTAGGCTTCAGCTGCGCCGGGAGTCCCCAGTCCATGTTGCTCCCCGACACCCGCCCAGGACTGGCTGCAGAGTGCACGCACGGGGCCCAGTGCAAGATGGAAGTGTATTCAAGAAGCAGGAGGAACATTAGACCGAGTGCAGGCCCTTTGGGGGCCAGGTCCTGTGTGGCTGCATGGGTTGCGCACCTATGAAGCTCCCACCCCTCACATTGGCCTCCCAGGTTCCTTACCTGTTCTGGGTAAGAGAGCCTGTCCTGAGCTGATGGCCAGCTTCTTGGCCAGGCCACTGATAAGGCCTTTGGGCTCTGGAGGAGAAGGGAGATGAAGGCTGAGAACAGCCCTCCACTGGATGAGGGCAGGGCTGGGGAGGAGGGTCTCCTACCTGGCTTAGGTGTAATGGGTGGCTTTGAAGGCTTTGCCTGAACCTTTGGGGCTGGGAGACACTTCTTGGGCTTTGGGACCCCTGGCCAACCAGGAGAAACTACTGCATGGACAAAGATACGGTGTGTCATATCTGACCATAAGCCTGCTCCCCCTCCCCCTTCTCTCAGCCACCCCTGGCCCCCCACCCACCATCACCATTCACGTAGTCGGCAGCTGGGGCATCATCAATCGGGATCACATAGTTCTCATCCGGGTTTGGTAGCGGGGGCAGCTTGTCCTGGCTGGGCACAGGCATGATGGGTGCAGGTGACTGCTTGGGGCCACAGGACCGGGATACAGGATCTGGTGAGAAATGGCAGTCATTTTGGGAACCCACGTGGTGCAGGGATACCTCCGGGTGGGTCTTTGGGCCTCTGTGAGCAGGAGTGTGTGTGTGCATGCCTGAATACAGGCATGCATCCCTGTGCCTGTGTATGTCTGTACATGTACCCATGTATAAGTCTGAGTTGGTGCCCCTGTGTAACATAAACATGAACCGGGTGATTTTGTGTAAGTGGAGTATACATAAATGTGTATACGTGTATGACAGTGTGTGGGTGCTAAGGTCTGTGCTGGGGTATTTGTACCCATGTGTTCATGCATGTGTCTATAAATGTCTGCATTTGTGCTGTGCCCATGTGATTGTGGCTTGAGGAATGTATGTATACTGGAAGGGGTGGGATTGTGATGCATGTATTCAATGCCCTTGTGGAGTCGTCTACATAAGAACTTCTGATTATTCAGGTGGACACAGTCCATGTTGGTGATCGTGGCATGTGTGTATGAATGGGTACATATATGTCCATTGTGTACATGGGGTCCCCAGCATCTGCCCAGCCCAGGGCGGACCATACTGCTTCCAGCCTCTTCCTCCTGCTCCATAAAGCTGCATTGGCCCCCATCCCTTTCCCAACACCCACTGTTTCCCATCTCTGAGTAGTTCTTACTCCAGGTGCACTTCTGCCCTGGTCTCATTGCCCATCTGTACCAAAATCCTTGGAGAACTTCAGCAAACACTCCTTCCTCTAGGATGGTTTCCCCCTACTCTGCCTCCCTCTTCTCAACTCTAGGTTAGGCACCAGCCCCAGGTTCAATCCCACAGGGCTGGGAGTGTCTGTGTCCAGCTCTGTCAGCCCTTTCTACAACCTGGAAGTCCCCAGAGGGCAGGATCTGGGTAATTTCTGGGTCCCTGCAACTCTGGGGACAAGATTGGACACAAGAGGCATGGTATGGGTTCTAGGTTTCTTCTATTCTGCCCCAATGGCTGCCTTGGGGGAAGGGGCATCACCTGGGCAGGGGACCGCTGGTACTGAGGGTGCCACCCACACACTCTCGCCGTTCTCTTTATCCGCATCCACGTAGCCTAGAACAGAGAGGGCTACCTGGAGGAGGCGCGGGGGCCCGGGGCTGACCTAAGGGTGGCCCCTTGGGGGCATAGGCGGGAGACGCAGGAGCTGGGCTCCCGAGTCCCCTGAGGCCTCACCCACCTAGCACCTTCTCGTAGTCCTCGTCCAGTAGGAAAGGCACCAGCGTCTTATTGGTTTGCAACACGAAATAGTCGACCACTGCTTGGAGTGAAGCGCAGGAGAACTGGGGGTGGGTAAGGGGTCCAGTTAGCGCCGCGGGGGAAGTGGCGCCGACCCCACCGGTGTACTTCCCGAGACCTCGCCCCAGGTCTCACCGGCTCCTCCACATCGATCACGTACTTAGGGCCCTCGCGTTTCACTTTGTAGTGACGGACCACCGGTGTCCTGCACATGCAGTGGGCAAGTGGGAGGCCTGACTCTGGCCAAAAAAGACCCCGCCCCTCATTCTGTCTACACCCCCATGGAGACACCCTCCCTCTTCCCGGCACACCGATCATGCCCTTTCCTGCCGGGGCTCTCTGGATTGACCAGGCCCTCGACTGACTCCATCCCCAGGAAAGACTTCGCCCCTAGTCCTGATTCTATCCCCGGGGAAGACAGGGTTCCGAAGGATTCCACCCTCAAGGGAGGCACCGCCCTTCTCCCTGGCTCCGCCCCCGAATTCTGACTCCACCTTAGACATGATTTGCCCAAGACCCTACAACTCGGGAGGCCAGCCTCAGGATTCCACGCTCCTTAACCTCTGGCCAGGCCTCCCGAGTCCTCCTCAGTCCCAGCTCAGACTTTGTACGTAGGTCCACTCGCTCAAGGATACGTCCCCGCCTCTACGTCTGACCACGCCCCCGTGCCCTACCCTCCATAAACCCCGCCCCCGCGTCCCTCAGCTGCGCCTGCGTACCCGTTGAGCGTCTGGCGAGTTGTGACCGATACTCCGTTCGCGCCGTCACCGCTGGGCCGCAGCAACAAGTTCCCGCATTCTGGGTAGCGCTCCAGGAGCAGTTGGGCCTCTAGCCGGCTCACCTTCAAGAAGCACCTGGCGAGGGTTGTAGTCACTCCCACTGGAAAGACCCTGACCCATGGGAGACCCGGAACGCCCTCCCATACGTAGCCCCGCCCCCGACACTCAGCCCCGCCCTCTGCCCCAATACTCAGTCACTCCTTCCCGCTTACTACCTAGTCCTGCGGCAACCAGCCTCACCTTCTAGGCACCTAGAGCCACCTCCGGAGACCCAACCTCATCTCCTAGGCCCAGATCCTACTCCAGTAGACCCTGGCTCCCCCTGCCCCCCAGGCCCAGATTTCATTTCTAGAGGCTCACAGTAGGGCCTTCCATGCACCTATACCTTCTGCTGGAGGTCCAGATCTCCCCCCAAACACCAAGTCCAGCTCCCAGCAGGGAAACTAATTCCCGCCGCATCCAGATGCAGCCCTGTATTCAACTTAAGACCCCACTCAGCACCTCCTCCTGGAACCCCTCAGGCCATGTGGCACTCACGAGGGCATCTCGAGCGTGCGGCGCACCTCCTCTTTGGCTAGGACCTCGGCCATCATGTACAGGTGTCCAGGCAGCAGGGTCAAATTGTATGGGACACGGAGCTGAGGGGCGATGGGGGCAGCTATGGAATGGGCAGCTGTGCCCATGTCACACAGGGGCTAAGTGAAGCCAGAGTGCAGACAGAGCCAAGATGGGAACCTGGGTCTGGGGGCTCCAGAGCTACACCTTCAGGGGCAAAGAGGTTTTGGAGAGGATGTGGAGAGAGAGGGAGACCGGTGATGGGGCAGATGACACAGCAGATACTAGAATGTAGAGTCTCAAACTCTACAGGCTGCAGGGGTCAGGCAGGGAACAAATGAGTGAAATAGAAACCAGAAGGCCCTGGCTGGTGTAGCTCAGTGGACTGAGCATGGGCCTGCGAATCAAAGGGTCCCTGGTTTGATTCCCAGTCACAGCATGTGCCTGGGTTGCTAGCTAGGTCCCCAGTAGGGGGCGCACAAGAGGTACCCACACATTGACCTTTGTCTCCTCTCTTTCTCCCTCCCTTCCCAGTCTCTAAAAATAAATAAATAAAATCCTAAAAAAAAAAATAAAGAAATCAGGAATGTTGACTAAAATCCTGGTTTTTAAGTGATAGCAGCTGTCTTAAATTTTTAGCACTGTTGGCAAAACAAAAGATGTTTATGGACTACATTTTGTTTGTAGGCCACCAGCTTGAGACCAATGTGCTATATATTCTAGGGCAGCGGTGTCAAACTCATTTTCCCCAGGGGCCACATCGGCCTCATAGTTGCCTTCAAAGGGCCGAAATAATTTTAGGACTGTGTAAATGTAAATATTCCTTAACTGTTAAGGAGCTGAAATTACATTCAGCCCCTTAAACGCAACCTCGAGGCCAATGTGGCCCCTGGTGAAAATGAGTTTGACACCCCTGCTCTAGGGGCTTATTTGGGAGAATGAAAGATGAAAAAATAAATAAAAAAGAGGATTTCTGAGAAGGACTACTGGGGAATGGGAGAGAGGCATGGAGGACAACCACCATTCTGACCTCCACTACCGTCAAGATGAAGCCTTTCCACATTTCCCGGGACTCCAGGCTGTCCACCTAGGGAGGGAAAGAGAAAGGCCATGTGGATTAGGCTCAGTCTGTTCATCTGTAAAATGGGTGTCAGGAATAACAGTTCACATTTCTGAGGGCTATTTTGAAGATTAAATGAATTAGGACAAATTAATTTAGAATAATGTCTGAATGAATATAAATCCTTAGTAATGTGGAATATTATTCTTTAATGTTATTATACCAATGTTTAAAAAAAACATAAGTCATGTATCTTATCCTTTCAACCCTCCCAGGCTTCCCACCGCCCTCAGGGTAGAGGCCCAGGATCCTCTCCATAGTTCACAAGGCCCTGCCCAGTGCCCACCCCGCCCCCCGCAACACACACACAGCCCTTACCTCCTCCCTCTGTCCCCCTCTCTCACTGTGCTCCAGCCACTGTTCCTCTAACACACCAGGCAGAGCCCTGTCTCAGGACCTTTGCATATACTATTCCCTCTGCTGAAAAGCCAGTTCCCACATATTTGCACTGCCGGCTCCCTCACACCCTTCAGATCCTCAGTAAGGCTTTCCTTGATCACACCACTTACCATTGCGTCGCCTTTTCCTAGAATCTGCTGCCATCTGACACTCCATATATTTTACACATTATATTGTTCATTGCATGCTTACACCACTAGACTGTAAACTCCACAAAGGATTTTGAACTGTCTGTTCACTGCTATGCAACTAGAAGAGGGTCTGTCACACAGTAGGTGCTCACTAAAGTTTGTTGAAGGGTTGAATGATAGCAGTGATGATCCAGAACCTTGTGAATCAGATCTTGTTCTAGGCACTTTACATATATTATCCCATTTTGCAGTTGAGGAAACTGAGGCCCAGAAAGGTTGAGTGACTTGTCCATTGCTTCCAACCCAGTGTTAGATTTTGCATGACTCCATATTAGTTTGTGTTAATGGTGAGTGCACTGGGGAGGCAGGGTCTCCCACCAACCCTCCCCCCTCAAGTTCAAGGGAACCTACCTTGAACTTGATCTCCTGGTTCCGGAGGACCAGGTTGAAATAGATACCAGGGTCACTGGAACTCCCTCGAGGACCCTCATCTGTGAATTTCACAAATGCTCCAAGGTCCAGCTTCTCCACATGCTGAGGGCACAAAGGCGGGCATCTGAGTACCAGGTCTGTGGCTTGCCCCATGGTTTTGCCACATCACCCACACCCTCTGCTTGATCCCTGGGGTCAAGGATGGGCCAGCTCTTGTGCACTCACTCCCATCCTTACCTGGGAGTCCCGATTGCTATTGTAGAAATAGAGAGTGAGGCCCTGGAGGCCAGCCCAGAACTTCTTGTAATTCTGGAGAATAGAGAAGGAGAAAGAAGGATGTGAGTTGGCAAACTGGGTACCTCCAACACACCTATTTCTGCCTCAGGACCTTTGCACTGGCTGTTCTCTCTGCCTGGACCCTCTTCCCCAGATCTTCACATAGTTTCCTGCATTACTTGCTTTGGGTCTTTGAACAAATGATGCCTTTTTAGGGAGGCCTTCCTCCTTCATGGCACAGCCTCTGGGGATCTATTATTCTTCGAGAAGTGACCAAAGGGAACCTTGATGGGATGGGGGACCCAGAGCAATCCCCCAGTCTTTGGAGGGAGTAGTTCTAGGAGTCAGTCAAGCTAACTACATTTATGATGGTCCATCCATTCACCCACCCATAGTCTGTTGTCCCATCCACCCATCCGTGCACCCAGCCACCCACATATATTTTCCTGCCCCCTTGTCCACTCCATACATATTTTTGGCATCTCCTAGGTGCCAGATCCTAAGAGAGGTGCTGAGTCTGTAGTCGCAGAATTTCACAAGGTTCTGGACTCTAGGAAGTCCGCAAATTCAATATTTACCCCCAGGATTCTGAACTCCAAATGCTGTAACTCTCTGAAGGCCTGAGGGGCTGATATATCTCAGATTATAAGATTCTATGTTTTTTCCACCAAAAATTTCCTGAGCAACTATTCTGCAACCAGCTCTATTGTGAGCAAAATAATAAGTGGGACGTGACTTCTGTTTAAATATATCATGTTCCAGAGGATAGAGAAAGCACAGATAATAAAATCCTCCGGGGAAGAAAAGTTAGGACCCCTGGAGAGGGACAGACCCTGGACCATAAGATCACAGAGGAGGAGAGTGGCCCTCCAACTGAAAAATCTGGGAATACTTCCCGAAGAGGAAGCACTTAAAAAAGATTTTATTTATTTATTTATTTTTAGAGAGAGCGGAAGGGATGGAGAAAGAGAGGGAGAGAAACATCAATATGTGGTTGCCTCTCACATGCCCCAAACTGGGAACCTGGCCCACACCCCAGGCATGTGCCCTGACTGGAAACCAAACTGGCGACCCTTTGGTTTGCAGGCCCACGCTCAGTCCACTGAGCTACACCAGTCGCAGCAGAAGCACTTTAATTAATCTGTAATGATAATGAGGATAGTGCTTATAATGACAGCTATCATTCACTCAACCATCCGTCCACCCATCCACCCATCCACAGATACATCCATACGCTTAACTAACATTGACTGAGGACCTAATCTGTGCCAAGCACTATTCCAGGCACTTGGCATAAGTGCACTTCCAAGTGCCTGGAACAGTAATAAGTGATTATATAAGTGGTAAGTGATTGAACTCAGTATAGTGAGACCTGCTTTGTCATGTGCCAGCTATGTGTCATTGAACAAATTATTTAAGCCCTCTGTGCCTCAGTTTCCCCACCTATAAAATATTGATACTGCCCTGGCTAGTGTGGCTCAGTGGATTGAATGCTGGCACTTTAACAAAAGGGTTGCCAGTTTAATTCCCAGTCAGGACACAAGCCTGGGTTGTGGGCCAGGTCCCCAGTAGGGGGTGCTCGAGAGGCAACCACACATTGATGTTTCCCTCTCTCCCTCCCTTCCCCTCTGTCTAAAAATAAATAAATACAAATCTTAAAATAAAATAAAACAGTGATACTAATGGTACTCACCTCAGTGGCCATTGTGAAAATTGGGCAAATTAATGTAAAGCGCCAATGCTTATCCTGAGCCAGCTTCCTGGCCTGCTAAGGACTACCTCTCTCTTGTAATTGTGACTATGGCCCTATCCTACCCATTGTATAACAGAAAACCGAGGACAAAGATGGAGAGTCACTTGTAAAAGGCCTGGGAATCAGAAAGGCATGGACCAGGGACGTGAACCTGGGTCTCGCGCTATGGGGCCCATGGTCTTTCTTAACCACTGTGATCTGCTGCCTCTTCATACTTTCTAGGCTGGAGGGGATTTTGGCACATGGAGCCACAAGGAGAAGAGGAGGGAACTGCAATGACAAAGGCAGGGAGGCGCACCGGGAAAGCAGTGGGTGGTTGGTTTGGGTTATAGTAGAAGATGAGTGTGTATAGGGCGTGGGGAGGGAGAGATGGGGCCTTAGTAGGAACTGAGGGACTGGGCTTTATTCTGAGTAAGACACACAAAAACACGGATGCGCTCCTGTCCGGGTGGCTCAGTTGGTTGGAGCATCGTCCCATATACCAAAAGGTCAAGGGTTCATTTCCCAGTCAGGGCACATACCTATGTTGCGGGTTCAGTCCTCAGTTGGGTTCATAGGAGGCAACTGATAGACGGTTGATTTTTTTTTCTCTGTCTCCTTTCCTCTCTCTAAGATCAATGAACATATCCTCAGGTGAGGATTTAAAAAACAAAACAAAACATACAAACAAACAAAAATGCACACCTTCATGTGTACATTGGTCCTGTGGCCAGTATCTGGTCCTGCTGACTGTGGCCCCCCAGTTCTTACTGTCCCCACGTGCAGCTGTCCTGACCTTGTCCCCAGCAGCTGAGGTTCCCGAAGTTAGTTCAGGACTGGGGAAAGGGGAACTAATTAATTTAGTGCCTCATTTCCTGGAGGAAGTCCTGATCCTGTTTGTATCCAACAGAGAGATACAGACCGATACAGTCAGGGAGAAACAAAGAGAAAGAGAAAGAGAAAGAGAAAGAGATCAAATAAGAGTCAGACAGAGATAGACAGAGACAGACAGATGGACAGAACCCTTCCCAGCCACCAGCCCATGCCCTGCCCCGTCAGCACCCACCCTGTCCTCCTTGGATACGTGGGGAGATTGAGGCTCAGATAGGTGCCTCGCCTGCCAGGCCTCGCAGCAGTGCCAGGCCCCCTGCCCCACCTTACCTGGTCTCGGGGTCCCTTCTTCTCCAGATAGCTCTCATGGTAGTGTGAAGGCAGGGCACACTTGGGCTTTGGGACCCGGGGTGGGCTCAGGGCCGAGGCCATGGCGGGCCGGTCTTTGGCCTGGCCTCTCCCTCCAGCAGCCAGGCTTGGCCAGGAAGCAGAGAAACAGGTTCCAGGGGAATTTCCTCTCTACTGTCAGCTCTGGAGTTCCCTCCCCTGCCAGTGCTGGGCGGAGGCTGGGCCTGGGCAGGTCCAGGAATCCTAGGGGAATCCCAGAGTGTCTGGTCTTTCCCAGAAGTCAGGTAGCAGGGAAGCTATGCTGGAGTCGTGGAATGGAGGAGGAAGCCGCAGGAGCGGACAGAGCACCAGGAAGAGGCCTGCTTCAGCAAAACCCTGGAAGTGAGAAAGGCCTGGGGACACAGCTAGAGAGGACATACAGGAACATTACACGAAGGGCTGAAATGCCTGTTAGGCTGTTTGGACATTAGAATAATCTTGCCTAGATCTACCCCAGAATCTTGCTGGTGTCGTGATGGGAATTGCACTAAACTTGTATCAGCTGGTGGAAATGTGACATCTTTATTGTGTCGAGTTTTCCAGTCCATCAACATGGTTCATCTTTTCATTTATTTAAATCTTTGATTTCTTTCTTTAGTGTTATGTAGTTTTCAGTATACAAGTCCTGTGCCTATTTTGCCAGATTTACAGAAAGAAAAAAAAGCATTTCTCTTTTTATTCAAGCAATTCTTAATGACCTGGTATTTTTAATTCCAATTTTCACATATTCGTTGTTAGTATACAGACATGCAGCTGGTTTTTGTGTTTTGTTAATCTTGAATCCTAGAAACTTGCTGAATGAGCTCATTTATTAATTTAGGGGCATTTGTTGTAGATTTCTTTGGGTTTTTTACATAGACCGTCATGTAAATCAGGCTAGTTTTACTTCTTCCTTTCCAATCCGTACTCCTTTTATTTCCTTTTCTTGCCTTATTGCACTGGCTAGAACTTTCAGTACTTGTTGAATAAGAATGACAAGAGGATATCTTTGCCATATTTCCAGTGCTAAGGGGGAAGCATTTTATCTTTAACCATTAGGTACATATTTTTTAAAAATATACTTTATTCATTATGCTATTACAGTTGTCCCAATTTTTCCCCCTTTGCCTCCCTCCACCCAGTACCCCAATTCCCTCCAGCAACCCCTCCCATTAGTTCATGTCCATGGTCATGCATATAAGTTCTTTGGCTGCTTCATTACCTATACTATTCTTAACATCCTCCTGTCTATTTTGTACCTACCAATTTGTGCTTCTTAATCCCTGCATCTTTTCCCCCATTCTTCCCCTTTCCCCTCCCAACTGATACCCTTCAAATGATCTCCGTATCTATGATTCTGTTCCTGTTCTGTTTGTTTGCTTAGTTTGTTATTTGGATTCAATTACTGATAGTTGTGAATTTATTATCACTTTAATGTTCATTGTTTTGATTTTCTTTTTCTTATATAATTCCCTTTAGCATTTCATATAATAATGGCTTGGTGATGATGAACTCCTTTAGTTTTACCTTGTCTGGGAAGCACTTTGTCTGCCTTTCCATTCTAAATGATAGCTTTGCTGGATAGAGTAATCTAGGTTGTAGGTCCTTGATTTTCACCACTTTGAATACTTCTCTCCAATCCCTTTTAGCCTGCAAAATTTCTTTTGAGAATTCAGATGACAGTCTTATGGAAAGTCCTTTGTAGGAAACTACCTGCTTTTCTCTTGCTGCTTTTAAGATTCTCTCTTTATCTTTAAGCTTTGGCATTTTAATTATGATGTACCTTGGTGTGGCCCTCTTTTGGTCCAACTTGTTTGGGACTCTCTGTGCTTCCTGGATTTATATGTCTATTTCCTTCACCAAATAAGGGAAGTTATTTGGGAGTTCTTTCATTATTTGATCAGATAAGTTTTTAATTTCTTACTCTTACTCTTCTTCTGGCATCCTTATGATTCAGATGTTGGTACATTTGGAGATGTCCCAGAGTCGTCTTATTCTCTCCTCATTTTTTTTTTAAATTCTTGTTTCTTCATTCTATACTGGTCAACTGTTGACTTCTTCCTTATGTTCCAAACTGCTGATTTGAACACTGGATTCCTTCCCTTCACTGTTGGTTCCCTGTGGATTTTTCTTTATTGCACTTATTGTAGCTTTCATTTCTTCCCTTCTGCATTTGCTGTACTCAGTGAGCTCTCTGAGCATCCTTATCACCAGTGTTTTGAACTCTGCATTTGATAGGTCGACTATCTCTGTTTCACTTAGGTCTTTTTCTGGGGTTTGTTGTGTTCTTCCTTTTGGGCCATATTCCTTTGTCTCCTCAATTTGGCAGCCTCCCTATGTTTGTTTCTGTGTATTAGGTAGAGCTGCTTTGGCTGTCAGTCTTGGCGCACACATTGTGTTATAAGGAGTGGAGCCTTAGGTATTTGCCCAGGTGGGGCAACCTGCCTGACCACTCTGTGGCACTGTGTGTGGGGGAGCTGTTGGAGAGGGACAATTCCGCTTTCTCGGCTCTTGTGCAATTTCTAGTCACTTCCCCCATTTCCTGTGTGCGACTGGTGTCCTTCTAGCTGATGCCCTGGTGCTGAGTCCCAGAGTTTGGGGGTTTGCCTATGTTCTAGGACCGTTGGGGTCCTTTAAACAAAATATCCTGAGAGCCCAGCAGTTTCTTCCACCACCCCAACCCCCGCTGATTCTTATAGCCAGAAGTTATGAGGCTTGATTTTTCCGGCACTGGAACCCTGGGCTGCCTGGGGCTGGGCTCAGTGCTCCCCAGGTGTCCCTCTTGGGTTTTATCCAATACATGTAAATGTGGGACCACCTGTTCTGCTGGCCAGTGCCTCGCTGCTCCTGCCTCCCTGCCACCACACTGCATCCTCTCTGCCCTGACTCCCCATCTCTGCCCGTCCTACCCATCTGGATGAATATTTCTGCTTTAAATCCTTGGTTGACAGACTTCCACACAATTCAGTTTTCCAGCAGTTCTGACTGCTTTTTCTTTTGAGATTTGTTGTGATCCTTCTTATGGTTGTGCAAGGAGGTGTAGCGTGTCTACCTACTCCTCCATTTTTGCTGGAAGTCCAACCAATCGATGTACCTGTCACACATCGATGTTTCTCTCCCTCTTTCACCCTCCCGTCCCCGCTCTCTGAATATAAGTGAGTAAATAAATAAATCTTTTTAAAAATCAAATAAGTTTTCCATTTCTTGCTATTCCTCTTCTCCTTCTGGCATCCATATGATTCAGACATTGGTATCTGAAGATACCAGAGGTTAAAGATGTCCCAGAGGTTCCTAAAACTGTCCTTGTTTTTTTTTTAATTCTTTTTTCTTCCTACTGTTCTGACTGAATGCTTTTTCCTTCTTTGTATTCCAAACTGTTGATTTGATTCTCGATGTCATCCCCTCCACTCTTGGTTCCCTGTAGATTTTTTCTTTTTTTTAAAGGTTTTATTTATTTATTTTTTAGAGAGGGAAGGGAGGGAGAAAGAGAGAGAGAGAGAAACATCAATGTGTGGTTGCTGGGGGCCGTGGCCTGAAACCCAGGCATGTGCCCTGACTGGGAATCGAACCTGCAACACTTTGGTTCGCAGCCCGCGCTCAGTCCACTGAGCTACGCCAGCCAGGGCTGATTTTTTTCTTTATTCCACTTAATACAATCTTCACTTTGCCTGGGTCTTTTTTTATGCCTTTGAAATACTCAGTGAGTTCCTGGAGCATCCTCATAACCAGTGTTTTCAACTCTGCATCTGCATAGGTTACTTATCTCCATTTCGTTTAGCTCTTTTTCTCAAGTTCTGTTCTTTCATTTGGGCCATGCTTCTTTGTCTCCTCAGTTAGGCAATCTCCTGTGTTTGTTTCTGTGAGTTAATTAGGTAGAGCTGCTTTGACTCCTGTCTCAGTGGTGTGGCCTATGGTAGAAGAACACTCCCTACTAAGTTGTATGGGGTGGAGCCTTAGGTACGAGCCAGGGCAGGGCAACCTGTGTCACTGTTGCTGTCTGTGGGGAGGGTTCAGAGAGGGAACAGTGTTGCTGCCTGGCCTCTGGAGTTTTGCCCAGGAGGGAGCTCTCTCCCAGTGCTCACCCTGATGCCAGTCACTTCACTTTCTCCCCATATGCCCCTGGTGCCCTTCCAGCTGTTGACGTGGTGCCGAATCCCAGAGGGGGTGGGTCTGCATGAGTCCTAACTCCATTTTGGGCCCTTTAAAAGGCGTCTCTTGAGAATCCTGCCGTTTCTTCCACTACCCCTGCCCCCATTGGTTTTATAGCCCACTGGTTTGGTAGCCAGAAGTTATGGGGACTTATCTTGCTGGCACTGGAACCCTGGGCTGAGTGGTCTGGTCTGGTGCTGGGATCCCTCGTTCTCACAGTATCCCTCCTGGTCTTTACCCACCACACATGGACGTGAGATATCCCGATCCTGTCTCTGCATCTCCCCACGCCTTTCTCTCTCCCTGTGCCTCTCTGCTCATCTCTGTGCGTCTCTGATCCTCCTACCCGTCTGGATGAATGTGGCATCTTTAAATCCTTGGTTGTCAGCCTTCCACACAGCTCAGTTTCCTGACGATTCTGGGTGATGTTTATTGCGTAGTCTAGTTGTATTTTTTGCTATAGTTGTGCTTGGAGGTGAGGCATGTTTATCTACACCTCCATCTTTACTGGTCATTCCATTAAGTACAATGTTAACTGAAGGTTTGTAGATGTTCTCCACCAAGTTGAGATGGTTTCCCTTTGTCCTAGTTCATGGAGAGCAACATCCATGTGAAAGAGAAACATCAATTGTTACACGCCCCTACCAGGGACTGAAATTGCACCCCAGGCATGTGCCCTACCAGGAATCTACTTGGCAACCTTTCACTCTGCGGAACAACGCCCAACCAACTGAGCCACACCAGTCAGGATTAATCTCCCTATTTTACAGTCACCTAGTCAATGACCTGGCCAAGTAATCCAGCTAGTTAGAGCATCATTTGGATATGCCAGGGTTGCAGATGTGATCCATGGTGCAGGCACGTACAGGAATGAACCAATGAATGTGTGAATGAGCAGAGCAACGAATTGTCTCTCTCTCCCGGCCTCCTCTCTCTAAAGTCAATAAATAAAAATTTAACAAAAAAAATGAAGCCAGCTGATCAGCAACTTTAATTTCATCTGCAATCTTAAATTCCTTTCACCATGTAACCTCACGTATTCACTTGTTCTGGGGATTAGGACAGGGAATCTTTAGAGAACCATTATTTTGCACACAACAGCCTGATAAATATGGTGGATAAACTTGACTTAAAAAATAGATGTTTATTTATTTTTAGAGAGAGTTGATGGAAGGGAGAAAGAGAGGGAATGAAATATTGTTGTGAGAAACATCAATCGGTTGCCTCTCGAATGTTCCCCAACCAGGGACCAAACCTGGAACCCAGGCATGTGCCCTGACTGGGAATCGAACCCACAACCTTTTGGTTTGCAGGATGACACTCAACCAACTGAGCCATACCAGTCAGGGCCTATAGCCTTGACTTTTGAATACTGAACCCACCTTGCATTCCTGGAATAAACACCACTTGGTCATGGTATATAATTATTTCCATATATTGCTGAGTTCTATTGCCTAATATTTTGTTAAGGATTTTTCTGTCCCTGTTCATGAAGGGTATGGTCTAGTTTTCTTTTTCTGGATCGCCCTTTTCTGGTTTGGGTATCTTGGTAATTAATGCTAGTTTCATCTGATGAATTGAGAAGTGGTCCCTCCTCTTTAATTTCCCAGAAGAGATTATGTAAAAGTGATGTTCTTTTTTGAGCCTTTGGTAGAATTCTTCATCTGGACCTGGAGATTTCTTTTTTGTGAGTTTTAAAATTGAACATTCAATGTCCTTAATAGTTATAGGGTGAGGCTGCTTGCTTGGACTTTAAGCACATAGCCAGAAATAGCCTTTGGAATCCACTGGAGGCCTGTGTAACTCTGGGCAACCTGTTTATCTTGAATTGTCTAATAAAGTTGGTAACAATACCTGCCATAAAGGAGCATCATAAATGGTTAATAATGTCACAGTAGTTAGTTTTCACTTTATTCATCAAAAGCAATGGGGAGCCATTAAAGGAGTTAGAACAGGGGAGGGAGGTGATCACAGAGGCAGAGTTGGCTTCTGAGGCCAGGGTGGAAGAGGGACGGAGGGGTGGGGGTGGGGGGTGACTATGGAGACCTGAGGCCCAAAGAGGTGGCAGGGGTCCAAGTGGGGGAGGTCTGGAGGTGCTAGATTTTGGAAGGTCTTTGAAGGGAAAGTGGGCAAGCACATGAGGGAATAAACTGAAGCTAGTGTTTGGGGAGCAGAGGGTTGCCAAACTGGTGGATGGACCCGTGGAAGGCGGCGTGGGGGGGGCACTCCAAAAGGAGGTCAGGGCAGGACAAAAAGAATAATTCACATTTATCCAGCTCTTACTGTCTGTCAAGCCCTGATCCTTAACCCTTAAATGGAATTATTATCCCCACGAGGAAAACAGAGAGGTGGCAGACAGCCAGCTGCAGTCACAGCACCTCGCAATAGTGCAGCAGGAATTGGGGTCTGATGGCTCGACATCCGGGCCCCCATGTCCTGTCCCCTCTTCCAGGCTGGGGTCCGGGTAAACCTATTCGCGGCTGAACCCAGTCAGTGGCTCCCCGCAGCTTGGAGGAGCCCCACCCCGGGCTTTTAGTCCTGACAAGGACTGGGGAGATCCGATGCACTGCGCTACGGAGCAAAGGTCCCTGAACGGAGGACTGGGACAAAGGACAGGGTTGCAGCCAGCAGACGCACACCCAGCCAGGCTCCGCCCACGTGTCCTCTTGCGCGAATGGTGGAACGGCCACAGGCCCTGGGTGCGGGGTTTGATCCGGGAGCTGATGGGCTGGCTGAGGACCAAACTCTACAGCTCATTGGATAAGTGAGGACAGGGGCTCTTGACGATTGGTCGAGGGCAACAGCTGCCCATTCCCTCAGTCGGAGAGGGGAGGAAGCAGGCTTAACATTGATTGGCTAGAGGGAATCAAACGACTACTGTTTATTGGTTGAGATGAAATAAACCTCCGATAATTGATTGGTGTACACCGCTCCGGCCCAATAGTGATATCAATCAGTGAGGGCCCATTGGAAGAGTGGAAATTAACCCTTAAGAGGTTGTGCCAGGCTGGGTGAATTAGACCTGCGGAATGAGTGGCTTCTCCATTCCGCCCCGCAGCCCCAGGGCTTAGAGGTTTGTCATCCCGGGCTTCAGTTTTTCCGTCCCCGCTGCCGAGACCTCTGTGTCCCTCAAGAAAGGCGGCCGCAGACCTCTGTTTTCCCCTTCGTTCTAGCGGGCTGAACCCCTGCGTCCCCCAGTCCTAGGCCTCAATCCTGACAAGGGTGTCCAACCCTTGGCCGGCAAGTTGCATCGGGCCCAGGATGACTGTGAATGTGGCCCAACACAAAATCGTAAATTTACTTAAAACCTTTCTCTCTCTTTTTTTTCTCTTCAACTTTCGTTAGTGTTTGTGTACTTAATGTGTAGCCCAGGACAACTCTTCTTCCAGTGTGGCCCAGAGAAGCCAAAAGGTTGTATACCCCTGCGAGGTAGCCTCGGGGGGAGCCACTAGTTCCCTCAAAGCAGATGTCCTGCGCCTCAGTTTCTCCATTTGTACCTGTGAGATCTTGGTTACCATCCTCCTCCCATGGAGAGTGGCCTCAGGCTTCAGTTTCCTGAATGGTCCGGGGGGGCGAGGCTGAGCCCCCGACTCCTCCTCCCAAATGTGTAGTCCTGGGCCTCAGTTTCCCCCCTTACACCAGCGGGCCGAGCCTCCAACCCGCCCACCCACGGCAGCCAATGGCTGGGGCGTCCCCCCGATTTGAGGCGGAGCTGAGTCACGTGCCTGGAAGAAAGAACGAGCGGGGCGAGGGGTTGGAGCAGCCATGGCAGGTACCGCGGGGCTGTCCGAGAGTTGGCAAGGCGCAGGGTGGGGTGACTGCACTGACTAGGGGCGCGTGGCCCTGCTGCAGCCTGTCGCTGTCCGCAGCTCCGGAGTCGCTCTCTCCGGCGGGCGGCGTGGGCGAGGAGGCGCCGGATGAGGACGAGGATGAGGCGGAGGCCGAAGACCCCGAGCGGCCGGCGGGAGCGAGCGGAGCGCGCGGCAGCGGCAGCGGCAGCGGCGGAGCCGGAGTTGGGAGCTGCGTCGGGGCCGGGGGCGCGCTCAGCAGGCGCTCGGTAACACTGAGGGTGCTCCTCAAAGACGCGCAGCTGGAGCCGGGCGCTGGAGTGCTGTCTATCTACTACCTGGTGAGCATTCCCTACCTCCCTTCCCATCCCGCCTGGGGCAAGAAGGGAAAACTGAGACCCAGAGCTTCCTTGCAGCAAGCGGAGCCTGGGAATGGGGAGGGGAAACCGAGGCACGGAGCATCCAGACCCAGCACTAGCCCAGAAGGGCTCGAGGACGTCGTTCACCAAATACCCAATTCTACAAAGAAGAAACTGAGGTTCAGAGGCTACCACTGCTTTCTTGGCTGTGACCTCACTTAACCTCTCCGTGTCCTAGTATCCTAGTTTCTTCATTTGGAAAATGGGATTTTTTTTTTTCTCCCATGGGGTTGTATGAAGATTAAATGAATAACGCGCTCAGCAAGTGCCTGCTACACAGTAAGTGCTTTGTGTTTGCTGTTATTACTATTATTGTTACTGTCATTGTTCATTTTGTGAATGGTGGTTCGTGAACTGAGCACCTGGTGTGTACCAGGCTCTATATTGGGTATTAGGGACACAGCAGTGATCAAGACAGACCCTGTCCCTACCCTTTAGGGGCTCACAGTCCAGTGCGGGGGAAGGGAGGATAGACATATAATTGGGCTGGTTTGTTCCAAGCTGATCAGGACTGTGATAGCAACGTACAGGTACTGGAGGCACCTAAGATGGAAAGCTTCCTGGAAGGGGTGCTGAAGTGGGAAGTGTGTGCTACGCTCTGGAAGCAGGATGGGATCAGGGAGGACTTCCTGGAGGTGGGCTTGGTGGGTACCAGATCCTGGGCCCAGCCAGCCCACTGTCACTGCAGGGGAAGAAGTTCATGGGGGACCTGCAGCCAGACGGGAGGATTGTGTGGCAGGAAACTGGGCAGGTGTTCAACTCACCCAGCGCCTGGGCCACCCACTGCAAGAAGCTTGTGAACCCAGCCAAGAAGTCGGGCTGTGGCTGGGCCTCCGTCAAGTACAAGGGCCAGAAACTGGACAAATACAAGGCCGCCTGGCTCCGGCGACACCAGCTCCATGTGCCTGCAGCTACCGCCGACGAGGTGCGTCCTTCAGCTTCCTGGATGAAACCCCCTGTGACTAACTGTCAGAGAGGAGTGCCCACAGAGAGAATATTGGAGCTGGGGCCTTGAGGAATGAATAGGAGTTTGTGAGATGAAGGAAAGAGCTTTTCAGAGAGAGGGAATGGCAAATGCCAAGCTGCACAGGCACGAAGCAACACATGCTGCTTAGGGAACCGTGATTAGCGGATGCAGCCAGGGGTTCAGATGTGTTGGGTAGCTGAGCGGGCTGGACCATATCTGGAAAGGTCTTGATACTAACAGATGTTCCTTGAATGGTCACCAGCTGGGTGAACTTGGCCAAGGACCCTCTCTGGGTCCTTAGTCTTCATCATCTGTAAAGTGGAAATGATAACAGTGACATATGTTTTATACACATTTAGATAGACTAAATACATGTGATTATATCTAGCTGGCAAGTCTGAAATCTGTAGGGCCACTGGCAGGCTGGAAACCCAGACAGGAGTTGGTGCTGCGCTCTTGAGGCAGAATCCCTTCTTTTCTGGGAAACCTCAGTTTTTGCTGTTAAGGGCTTTCAACTGATGGGATGATGCCCACTCACATTATCCTCCACTGAAAGTCAATTTATTATAAATGTAAACCACACCAAATGCCTTCACTGCAACACCTAGATTAGTCTTAGGTTAAATAAATGGGTAGTGGAGCCTAGCCAAGATGACATACAGAACTCACCTGCACATATGTCATAGGGCCATTTACTCAGCAAACATTTAGTAAATGCCACCTCTAGGTGCTGGAGATAAAGGAGAGAGCGAAGAAAAAATAACTGTCCTCATGGGGAGACAGACAAAAAACAAAATAAGTCCATCTTACAGTATTTCTGAAGAATGGATGGGCATTGGGGGTGGGGAAATGGAGTGGTCAAGTGAGGTTCACTGAGAAGGTGACATCTGAGCAGAGAAGGGGGCGTGGTGCGGGGAGAGCCTTGAGGGTATCTGGAAAACAGCAGGCTCGAAGTCCCTGAGACTGGATTGTCCATGGCTGTTGGAGGAGCTATGAGGAGGCCAAGCCGCATGGCTGGAGGAGAAATGAGCGAGGGGGTCAGAGGGAGGAAGTGAGGGCAGGGTCGGGATGGGGTAGGTCTGCAGGGCCTGTGGGCTGCTGGGAGAATACTGCCTTTTACCAGAGGGAGGTGGGAGGCCTGGAGGCTTGTCGGTAGGAGGGATAGGACCTCACTTGGATGCTCACAGGCGCCCTCTTCTGGCTGCTGAGGAGAAGACTGACTGAGGAAGGACTGCCCAGGGCCAGACTGAGCTGGTCCATGTGGGCAATGATGGGCGGAACCAGGCCTGCCATTGAGGTGGTGGAGAACTGCTTAGATTCTGGCTAATTTTGAAAGTAGGATCTGAAGGGATTTGCTGATTAGATTAGATGTTAGTGTTAAGAGTTTTGTTCTGAGCAAGTTGGTGGATGGGGTTGCTCTCATCAGAGATGTGGGGATTTGATAGTAGCAGGTTGGAGGGGACAGTTGGGTGCATCGTGGCTATATTAAGTGTAAGCTCCACACATATGGACATTGAGGGGCAGCTGGACCCTGAGTCTAGAGCTCAGGAGAGCCTCAGGTTGGAGACAGGACTGTGGTTTCATTGGGGCAGAGGTGGGCTTGGAGTCCCAAGAGTGGACTGGTCTATCCTGATGGAAGAAACCCCAGGATTTAGCCCTAGGCCACAAGAGAGAGATGGGGTGGCCGAGGGGACCCTGGAAGGAGTCAGGGAAGCTGGGTGAGTTCAGGCCCCTGAGGAGCTGCCAAGAGGTCAGGGTACCAGCTGGGTCAGATGCCGCTGGGAGGGGAAGGAGGACAGAGACCAGGATGTGAATGTTGGGTTTAGACACAGAGAGAAGTTTAGGAGAGAGCAGGGGGAGAGGTTGTTGAGAGAATCTAATAAAATAATTCATGTGAAGTACATGCTTGCTCAGTGGATGGAGCAACAGAGGATGGGTAAATTCTTTGCATGTATTAACCTATTTCACCCTGACACCAACTCTGTTGGGCTAGAAATCATTGTGGCATTTTATAGCTGATCATAGAGCTCAGAGAAGTCAGGGTTCTTGCCAAAAGTCACACAGCTTGTCCAGGATTCGAACCTGAGAGCCAGCCACCTGAAGGAGTTCAGACCTGAGATGTGCCAGAGCCTTAGGCTGCTTCTCCTCACTCTCTTCCTCTAGTGGACACCCAGGGCAACACAGACCTAAGAGAGGCGGGCCAGGGTGGAACTTGAGAGGGTGGGGTACAGCCGGCTGAGGGTCCCGCCACTGTCCTCACCCCTACCCTGCCAGAGCCCAGCCAGCGAAGGGGAGGAGGAGGATCTGCTGATGGAGGAAGAGGAGGAGGAGGTTCTGGCAGGGGTCTCAGCAGAGGACAAAAGTCGAAGGCCACCTGTGAAGGGCCCCTCAGAGCCTGCCCACCCCGGTGAGAGGCATGAGGGAGGGAAGGAGGCAGGGCAGGAGGCATGCAGAATTCAGGAGGAGGCTGGGGCAGGCCTGGCCTTTTCCTCAGCACCCCCGAGATGCATGGCTGACTTCCTAGCCCCCAGTTTCACCACCTGACTTCTTCACTCTAACGCTGGATCTCTCACTCCCATTGCCCAATTTCTTAATATGCTGCCTGCTTTCTTCACCATGCTGCCCGATTTCCTTGTTCCCCAATGGGATTTCTTTGCCCTGTTGCCTGATTTCTAAACTTGCTGCCTAATCCCCTCCTCCCCACCCGGTGCCCCGCTCTCCCCGCACCGGGTTTTCTGAGATCCTCAGCGGATCCTTTCCTGAGTCCTTCCTCTGGTTTTAAATCTCAGTCCAACTCGTCAGCCTGCTGCCTCGTTCCCCAGACCTGCTGCCATATTTTTCTTTCTTGGTTCTCCCTCCACCCTTTCTCGGGTTGCCCTGTCTTTGCTTTCCAGTCCCGGGCTGGGGAGGGACTGACACTGGCCTTTTTTCCTTACCCTCTCTGGGCAGAGGCCACGCCCCTGGGAAAGCGAGGAGAAAACAAGATCCGGGCGCCAGTGCGGTACTGCATGTTGGGCAGTCGCGACTCTGCCAGGTCAGGCGGGCCCCCCCCAACCCCCGCCCACCACACCCACCACCGTTCACATGAACGCCAGGGCTGGTGGAGAGGGGAGAAAGGGCAGGAGTAGGGTGGGGACAAGGCCTCCTCAGAGCTGGTTGGAGGCGGGGTGGGCTGAGGAGCCAACCTGGGTGTTCTAGACACCGTGGGGCCCTCTGGCTCCTACAGGAACCCCCACACCCTGGTGGAAGTAACATCGTTCGCCGCCGTCAACAAGTTCCAGCCATTCAACGTGGCCATCTCCAGCAACGCGCTGTTTCTGCTGGTGTGTCCAAGCCCTACCTTGTCTTTCGTGGGCCAGGGGCTCCCGAGCCTGAGCAGAGGGCTGGGGTACTCCGGGGAGGGGCATCCCTGGAACGTCAGCTCCGTGTGGGTGGGGACCTTGTCTCCTCATGGGTACTCGGTCGATGTTTGAATGGAGGAGGAGGTGGGAGGGCTGGCCCCTGCCCATTACAAGGGCCCTGGGTCCCCAGGATGGGGTTGGGGTCAGCTGCAGCCTGAACATGTCTTCTGGTGCACCTCTTCCCCAGGACTTCCACAGCCACCTAACGCGCAGCGAGGTCGTGGGGTACCTGGGGGGACGCTGGGACATCAACAGCCAGAGTGGGTATTTGGGGCTGGGGTGGGCAGAGGGATGCTGGGGGCCAGGGTCGATGTCCACGCCTTCTTCCTGCTCTGTGCAGTGCTCTCGGTGCTGAGAGCCTTCCCCTGTCGCAGCCGGCTGGGGGACGCGGATACGGCGGCTGCCATGGAAGAGGAGGTGAGGGGACGCGCTGGGTGGGCTGGGGTGGACACAGCTGTCCTGGAAGCTAGCAGAGTCTGTGCTTGAAACATGTACAAATGCATGTGTGTGGGCCCCGTCCCCTCCTGGCACCTAGTAAAGGCCGCATAATAATAACTGCCGTCCTTAAAAGTGCTTCCATAACGGCTCTCAGTGTGCACCTGGCACTGTGCTCAGCACGCCCCCTCCCCCTCCCCGTGGCCCCGTCTGTGTCCCTCAGGGATGGGTGAGTGGACAGTGATCAGTGGGAAAGGTCCTTCTTCTGCCCTCGCTTGCCTCCACTTTCTGTAGGCATTCGAGAGTGCCTGTGCCTGCCCACCTGCACGCAGCCCACCTGTCTCTTTAACTGTTTATTGAGCATCTGCTGTGTGCCAGGCATTGTTCCATGAGCTGGGGACACAGCAGGGAACAGAAGTTTTTGCCTTTGCTACATGACAGGCCCATCTTTTTAAATGTGTGTGTTGGCTCTGCCCCTACTGGACTCCGTTAGGGTGGGGGCAGGCTCCGTCTGGGTCATTGCTGCATCCCCGGGCCTGGTACACGGCAGGTCCTCCTTATGTGTTGCCATACATGGGGCTGGGTAGGTGTCAGGAGTGCTGGCTGCAGGGAGTGGCAGGAGCACCCCAAGGCTGGCAGGGCCCCCGGCTCCCCATCGGCCCCAGCCTTGCCTCTGCCCCCCAGATCTACCAGAGCCTGCTCCTGCGCGGCCTGTCCCTAGTGGGCTGGTACCACAGTCACCCGCACAGCCCGGCCCTGCCGTCGCTGCAGGACATCGACACGCAGATGGACTACCAGCTGCGGCTGCAGGGCTCCAGCAATGGCTTCCAGCCCTGCCTCGCCCTGCTCTGCTGTGAGGCCTGGGCTGGCGGGGCTGGGGGTGTGGGTGGGCCTGCCTGTGTGACTCTCTCCCAGAGCACGAACTCCCCAGGCCCAGCCCCCTCTCGCACTCTCCCCCCACAGCCCCTTACTACTCTGGCAACCCGGGCCCCGAGTCCAAGATCTCCCCCTTCTGGGTGATGCCACCCCCTGAGGTAGGCAGGGCGCTTGGGGTGGGTGGGGGGCGGTGTTGAGGGCCAATGTGCGGGCTATGGGCCATGGGGTGGGAGGTGTGGGTTGGCTGGTGGTGACTGGCTGGTGTCCCTGTCAGCAAAGGCCCAGTGACTACGGCATCCCCATGGACGTGGAGATGGCCTATGTCCAGGACAGCTTCCTGACTAATGACATCCTCCATGAGATGGTGAGCTCACTCCCGGGTGGGGTGGGTGCCCCTCACCCCCGAGGGACAGGTGGGAGCTGAAAGCACATAGCTGGACGCACAAGCTCAGACTCAGGGAGCTGCGGCTGAATGTTCCACGCCAGGGCCCTGGGCAGCTTCCTCTGCTGAAGAAAATCACCTGTGGCTCTTAGGATCCAGTCCCAGGGCCTGTTGCGACTCCTCCCTTGTCCACTTGCTCACCCACCTGGCCACCTAGTTGTTCTGGAACACGCTAGGGTCTGCTTCCACCTCAGGCCTCTGCACCTGCCACTGCTTCTCCAAGTGGAGACACGTGGAGGACTTCAGGTGGTACCTGGATGGTTTATAATGCGTGTGCCTTAATAGGCATTTAAAAAATGCCTGTTCATCACACCTGTGATTTCACGGGTACCATCACAATGAGGCTGGAGCAGGGAGCTCGCGTCAGGCCTGTGTGAGGTGAAGAATCACGTTCAGCGTGACTTCCTGGGGGCGTTCCCTCTTCCAGGGGGCTTCCTGGGGGAGCCTCCTGCCGAGCTCCCCTCTCTCTGCTGGGCCACACTGCTCGGTGGTCCTTCTTGGTGAGTGGTAGTCTACTTGTCCAGTTAGCCTGGAAGCTGTCATGACGGGGTGGCAGTGGCTGTCGTGCTGGACCCCCAAGGTCCGGCGCCGGAAGGCCAGGGGCCTGGGCCCCAACCACACCTTGCTCCCTAGACGCTGCTGGTGGAGTTCTACAAGGGCGCCCCTGATGCGGTGCGGTTCCAGGAGCCCTGGGACCCAGAGCACACCTGCCTCGACAAGCTGAAGGTGAGACCTCTGCCCCTAGTCCTGGTCTGAGCCCCTCCTGGAGGACAGTTCTCGGGGAGCCCCCAGATGTACCCACAGGTAGCCTGAGAAACAGTACTTCCTAACTTGTTCTGTACAAGATATTTCAGCTGGAAATTAACACTGCCAAAAAGCCTTGTTCTATCACACAGAGATGGGGGTGGGGGGGAAATCACCATCACACAGTTGGAGAAGCTGCTCCCAAGCCCATCTCATTCCACTACCGCCAGCAGGGGGCGTGGGAGGGGCCTGACCCAGTTCCGAGCCAGGAGAGCAGCTGGGGGGTGATGTGTGCGCTGGCCCCGCAAGCAGTGGGACATTTAAATGGGGCTTTGGGGGCCTCCCGTGTGTCTGCTTTATCTCCTGTTTGAACGTCATTCTCCTAAGACACTCTCAGCTCTGCTTCACAGAGAAACAGTTTCACACGTTTGCTTGTTTTGGTGAAACTTTTAAAGAAAACAGTGACCAGGGCCTGAGGTTGCCCCTGGCCACCTCCCACTCAGATACTGGGCTGCTGGGTGGAGGGGGCACCTGCTGTCTTTGGAGGCCCTGGAGCTGGGCGGCTCCCGGCATTTGGTGTGTGTGAGATCCGGGCTGGGGTGAGAGCAGATCTGGAAAATGCAGGTAACCCCCTCAACCCAGACATGAGTCAGCTGGGCCTCAAGTTACTCAGCGCTCTTGGTAGAGAGAAAGCGCTGCTTCAGACAGCCCTGCGGACCTTGGTCAGGCAAGCCCTCTGCCAGTGGCAGCACTGGGGCCTGGGGGGGCAGGGGGTGGTGCAAGGCCCGACCAGGACTGCTGGGCAGAGTCCTGAGGCACCGGCGCCACCCCTTTCAGATCTCCCTGGCCGGCAGGATGCCCAAGGACCAGGGCCTGTGCCACGTGCTGGAGCAGGTGTGCAGCGTCCTCAAGCAAGGCATCTGAGGGCGTCGGCCTCTCAGGACCTGGGAGGACTCCTGGTCAGACTCGGAGCCCCTTGCCCCACTCTCAGCAGCTCTGGGTGAGGGGGAACGGGATTCAGGGCTTTGTCTGTGGCTGTGACTGGCTTGTGCGGTGGCAGGGGCTTACACAATAAAGGAGAGAAACAGCCCAGGCACAGGTCTCGCCCTGAGGTGGGGGTCCCCGCAGCACTTGCTGCTGGACACAGACTGCTGCCCGGAGAATCCGGGCTCGACCCCAGCCCCACTTCTTCCGGGGCTGTGGGAAGGGGACTCCTGAGGACATGCCTCCCGTGCTGGTGACTAGGTAATGAGTCACCCTTCCTGGGCTCACTGTGAGGCCTGTGCCCACTCCAGGAGTGGCTCTGGGTAGGGGTCTGGGGGTGGGCAACCACATGGGGCCTGTCCTGACCAGAGTCCCCTCGGGAGGGCTGTGGGTGTCTGGATGAGCAGAAGGCCTGCTCTGCACTACAACCAGGCAAGAGAGTGTAGAAAGAGACATTTAATACTTTGTTTTTCTTTTAAAAATCAAGATTACATTTCCATCCACCCTAGACTGTGACCAAGGCCATACTGCTTGTCTTGGTCCAGATGCCTGGGTCTCTCCCACTCACGGTGGTGAGGGACCTTGGGGAGGCGCAGAGCCTTGTGTCCTGGGGGCTGTGCAGGGTCACTGAAGGAAGGGAATGTGAACCAGGCCAGAGGCCCCCCATTAAGCCAATTTCATTTCAGATCAGGCCAGAGGGGAAGTGGATGCAGGGCTGGGGCCTGCTGGTCTGGGCAGCTGCCTACCTTAGTCTAAAAGAGACAGCTGGGGACACTGTCAATAGGGGGGATGGCGGCCAGCTTGGGGTGTGGGAAGGCCTGTGACCCCCCCAAGATGGCCCCAGCAGCCAGAGGTCTGGGAACATACATCAAAGCCTTTGTGCTTGACCTTCAGCAGAGAGGAAGCTGGGGGCTCCCGTGGTCCCATGTGTGGCAAGTTAAGTGTGTGTGCACGCAGCTGGCAGTAGCACCTTGTACCAGACAGAAACGTTCCGTGTGCTGGGCTGGGGGCAGGGCACCCTGCAGGTGGGCACTGAGGGGACCTGGGGTGGGGTGGTGGGCATGGTATGCGGGGCTCAGCACCCTGCAGCTGAGGAGAGGGCCTGCCTGTCCTTAAGGGCGAGGTCCTCCTACAGAGGTGGCATCTGGGGGTGTGCAGGGGCCTGAGGAGTATCTTAGGGGAATTTAAAAGCAGGGTAGCGAGCATCATCCAGGGGTCCTGCTTGGACCACCCCATCTCACAGACTTACAATCTGCTCCCAGTAACGGCAGGTCAGGGTGGGCCAAGCCCCAGTGTGGACGGGACAAAGGGTGTGTGTATGTCTTCGTGAGTGGAGGGGCCCGCCCAGAGTTGCCAGTCCTGGGGGCAGCGGGAGGAAGTTAGTGTTTCTAAGAGCACCTTAGTGTTAGCCCCCGCACGGCAGCGGAGCCCCAGACGGCTGTGTGGAGTGGAGAGGGGAGGCCCCACCGCCACTGTGGGTGAGCACTAGTGTAAACGGGGCCCCGGCCCCCCACTGGAGCTGCTGCCTCAAGTCCCTGGTGCCCTGGGAGGAGCACTGCCCAGGAACGTTGGGCCACGTGGAACACAGGTGATCTGGACGGAGGGGCGGGCAGGCTGCCGCTGTCACTGAGGCAGGGGCACCAGCACCTCCACATAGCTGAGGGGGAAGAAGCCCGACTGGCCGTGGAGCATGCCCTCGTACCAGTTCTCGTCAATCTGGTTGGTCAGCGTGATGATGTCACCCTCATGGAAGCCCAGCTCCCCATCATTCTCGGGCTCAAAGTCGTATAGTGCTTTGCAGCTCGGCTGGTCCAGGGGCGCTGCAGGTGGGCAGGGGATGGGTGTCAGGTCTGGGTGTCCAGCTGAGACCCCACCAGCTCCTGCTGCCTTGCTGTGCCTCAGTTTCCCCTAAGGAGAGCTGCTCCTCCCTCTTGCTCCCCAGGGATATTGGGAATAAGAAGTGGCAAGAAGGACGGAAAGGGTTTGCGAGTGGGAATAGCTGGAAACGCTCAGTGGCATGAAGATGACAGGATGACCAGAGCCCACTGCCCTCAGGGTGCCCCTCTGAGAGCCCAGAGCCAGTGGGTGCCCCAGGCGCTCACAACAACCCCTCTTTAGCAGGCGGAGGCCACAGAGGCAGGGACTTGCCACCCAGCTTCTTCCCTGTTTAAGAGGCTGAGAGGACTGACCACAGGGGTGCCCACTTCTACAGAGAAGGGGAGTTAGCAAGACCCTACAACAGACTGGAAGGCATTGTTATAAACCAAGGCAGGGGGACACTCACGCATGCTCCTGCTGGGGGTCCGGATGGGCTTGTCGGAAGATCGGAAAGATGACGAAGCTGCTTGTAGACAAAACACACGGGTGCGCTCAGAGTGTTGGGCTGGGGTATGGGTCCCATCTCTGGGGGCCCCTTTTGCAGAGGGCGAGTGGGTAGGCAGGAGGCACCAGGCCGTACCATTTGGATGGAGCGGGGGGCTGGGGGCTCCTGCACAAGGGGCCTGTTTCTGAGGCCCTGGGACAGCAGAGACACCTCCTGCTCCTTACCTGTGATCTTGGGGGCCGGTGCGCAGGGGAAGCCCCCGTTGGACTGCTCGGGCTCTCCGAGCTCGAAGGTCTCCCGGGGCTTGGGCTTGTACTCGCGCTTAGGGCGCGAGGAGGCATCCCGCATCCTGCACACAAAAGGAGAGACGTGAACAGCCACAGAGCCTGTGTCCTGAGCCAGGGTGTCAAGGCCAGGGGAAACGACCCCCCTGCCCCCTGTTCACACTGCTTCCCCGTGGGCGGTGGGGCCCTGGGGCGCTGGGGCTGGTCCCTAGACTCGAGCATTTTGCAGGTTGCCAGTAATGGGCTGGATGCTGCTAAAGCCCCTCCAGTGCCACCAGAGAAGCACTGCTGGCGAAGGAGACTGGCAGTGGAGGACGGGTCCCAGGGGTCACCCCTGGGTGAGCTGCTTCCGGTCCTCAGGCCACTCCAGTCCTGTCCTTCAGAGACCAGGATGAGCCCCTACTCCCACCCTCACAGTCCGGAGCTTGTTTAGGAAAAGTCAGCCCCCCCAGGCTCTGGATAGCACTGGGCTATTGGGAGGAGGTATGTGGGGCCTCTCAGGGGCCAGCCCAGGAATCCTCAGCAGGGGCTCCAGGGTTCCAGGGACCCCACAGCCACGAGGCATTTCTTGGCCGGCACAGAGCGGGAGAGGCTCACCTTCGCTTGAGCTTGCTGGCCAGCTCGTCCAGGATCTGCACGGCCTGCCGGTGGTACTCCAGCTGGGCGTCCACCAGGGCAGAGAGCTGGCTCACCTGCTCAATCTGCAAACCACCAGTCAGAGCTGAAGAGGGGGCTTCGCTCTAACTCCCACCTCCAGGCTACCTCCCGCCAGGAGCCTTCCCATGCCGCTCCAGGCAGGGGCCCGGCCGACCTGTGCACTGCAGCAAGGGTGAAGGGCCCAGAGAGGCCCACAGTCTCAGTGGGCCCCACTCTGGTCATTGTTCGACTTTCATTTCCTTCACCCTGTAAACGGGCCCTGGGCCTCTGGAAGCTAGCACCCCTGCAGGGCCCATGGACATACGTCAGTCTCCAGGAGGTTGTGCATGCTGGTCTCAGCCACCTCCTTGGACTCTTCGAACTTCTCCAGGGCCTGGCGCAGCTCCTCATCGGGGATCTTGCCCTGCCTCTTCTTCTTGTAGTCGAAGTCCAGGCGGCGGCCCTCCAGCTTCTTCAGGTGGTGCTGGGGGCAGGGACAAGGGTCACACTGCAGGGCCACCCCACACCCTACGGCCCTTCCTGCTGCAAGTATGTGTGGAGGTGGGCCAAGCTGGAGCCCAGGATGGGGAGGGGCTCACTGTTGAGTGAAGGACCTGGGAGGGATCCCGGAGAGCTGTACTGGGACAGGTGTACTGGGACGTGGGTGTACGGCCATCAAGGCATACCTGGATCTCCTTCAGGTCTTTGTCGCACAGGTTCTGGAGGGGATCGATGAAGTTCTGCTTGACCTCTATATCCAGGGCATCCTTCACCTCGGCCAGGCACTTCATGGACTCCCCTGCATCCAGCAGGGCGTCGCCTGTGGAAGGGACGGGAGTAGGGGAAGAAGCTGTCACAGGATGCCTTGGCCTGAGATGCCCAGACACCTCCAACTTCTACACTGACCCCACAGGCAGGACCTGGACCAGAATTCAGAGCAACAGACCGTCAAGTCTGAATCTGAGCTGCAGTGGCCTGGGGTTGGTGACTACAGGTGTCAAAACAACATGCCCTTCCACTCTTAGAGGGGAGCAAATTTGGCCTGAACCAGCTGTGGCATGAGCTGGGCCTGCCCTTGGCCTTGACCCTCCCTTACCTTTGGGGCATGGGGGGACACACAGAGAGCAGCTCTTGCCCTCATCCAGGGACCAGCTAGCACCAGAGCAGATTCTAGAGCTATGGGAGTGAAGCACCCTCCTATTCGCCAGCGTGGGGTGCAGGCCTTCCTTCCCTCAGCCTGGCCACCTGCCCGAGCCGCCCTGCCCAGGCCCGAGGCCCCCTTAGAGGCCTCACCGAAGTTGGACTCGCCGCCCAGCTCCTTCCCGTGGCGGATCATGCACTCGCCCAGCAGGCCCTCCGACTGCGGGTAGCCAGGGTTCTTCACCTGCCCGCGGATCTTGGACACCGTGTTGAGCATCGTCAGCTTGGCCCTTGAGGCTGGAACAGAATGGGCCAGTGGGCACGTGGGTGGGCATGTGGATGGGCACTCCTGGAGCCACTAGGCCTGCACTTGGCCAGTGCTGCTGGCTGCCTCCCTCTGCCCTGGGTGCCCCCTGTCCCCGAAGTCCACTCATTCACCCACGTGGGTGTGTCCCTGGCACAGGCCTTGAATGGACATGCCAGGGTTTGCTGCCTATCCCATGTCCACAGCCTCCCAAGATGGGAACTAGCATTTGGATCATCCTTGAAGGAAGGTCCCTACTTGCCTCTCTTCCCAGGGGACCCCCACCTCACACTCCAAAGGCTGGGGTGTGGTTGGGGCCTGACCAACGAGGGATGAGCACCCAATTCAAGGTGGCCTGGTCAGTCGGGTGGGGGAAGACGCTCCTTTCTGATGGGACTGTCAGCTGCAAAGATGACTTAAGGCAA